TCCTTCCTTTTCCTTCCACTCCCTTCCTTTCCTTTTCCTTTCCCTCCTTTCCTTCCCCTTCCTTCCCTTATCCACCCTTCCCTCCCCTTCCCTTCATCTTCCTCCCTTCCCTACCTTTCCCCTCCCTTCCTGCCCCCTCCCATCCCCTCCCCTTCCCTTCCTTCTCCATCCCCTCCCTTCCCTTCTCCTCCCTTCCCTTAACTTCATCTCTTCCCTTCCTGTCCCCTCCATTCCTGTCCCCTTTCATCCCCTCCCCTTATGTTCTCCTCCCTTCCCTTCCCTTCCCTTCTCTTCCTTTCCCTTTCATTCCTTTCCTCTCACCTTCTTCCCATCAAAGTCAAAATTACTGAGTTTCCCTGCATGCCCAAGGCTCTAAACAATAATGGTGCATCTTTTGTCAAAATAATGAGTGTAGTCAATGTAGAGAAAAGTTAAGTAGAAATCATCTGCCTCACGGGCATTGGGAGGGGTGGGATGGGTGGGAATATTGGGGTTCTTGGTGGTTAAAAATGAGTACTGATGTTTGATCATTGTATTACCGAGACTTAGACCTGAAAGCTTTGTAACTTTTCCTACAGTGATTTAATAAATAAATGTAAGAAGAAAAAAATAAATAAAAGTATGAAAAAAAAGTAAGGTGGAGCTCATGCCCAATTCAATCAGCTCATCAGTGGTTGAATAAATAGCAGTACTTCTACATAAAACAAACATACAAACAAACAAAATAACGAGCTGAAATTTTTCTCTTATATGATCTCTCACTTGCACGCATCTCTTTTTTTCTTTGCTTTTATTTTATTTTTTTAAATTTATTTATTTATTGAATCACTGTGGGAAAGGTTACAAAGCTTTCAGGTTTAGGTCTCAGTCATGCAAATATCAAACACATTTCCCTTTACCAATACTTATTTTTTACCATGAAGAACCCCAATAATACCCCACCCCCCACCCCTTCCAGTCCCTGTGAGGCAGATGAATTCTAGTTAACAATATATCTGCTTTGATTAGATTCATTGTTTCATTAAAAGATTCACCACTATTATTTAGAGTTTACCACCCCCCCCCCCAAGTCACACATGCTGAAAAAGCATTGTGAAGTGATTTGCTTTCTACAGCTGGGTTCAAGAATTAAATGTTGGTTTTGGATATCTGCTATTTTACTTATTGACCCTGGAAGTATTTCTACTGAAAGTCAGATATTTAAGAAATTGGTTTCTGTGCTCTAGAGTCGTGGCCGTGCTGGAGAGCCGCTCGTGGGGGGCAACTGGTGGCCTCGGTAGGGCGTGAAGGGCGGACTGAAACACCCCCCTTCCCATGAGGTTTTAGTCGCCCCCACACCCATGGCTCATACCTGCTGTCAACAAGGCTCCCATGCAGCCGCCTTCTTTCCTTCCAGGGAGAAAAGGGCGAATGGGGCAACACCCTTTCCCCTCCGGACAGACATGATGGCCTGGATTAACGCATAGTCCTTTCACTTTTCTGCTCCTAGCTGCTGGGTTCTGCATTAAGTCCTTGTGCTTCTGGGGCTGTGGCCATGCCAGAGAGCCGCTTGTGGGGGGCAACTGGTGACCTCGGTAGAGCTTGAAGGATGGACTGGAACGTCCCCCTTCCCATGAGGTTTTAGTCGCCCCCACACCCCTGGCTCATATCTGCTGTCCACAAGGCTCCACTTGCGGCCGCCATCTTTCTTTCCAGAGAGGAGAGGGCGAATGGGGCAACACCCTTTCCCCTCTGGCAGACTTGATGGCCTGAATTAACGCATAGTCCATTCACTTTTCTGCTCCAAGCTGCCAGGTTCTGCATTAAGTCCTTGTGCTTCTGGGGCTGTGGCCATGCTGGAGAGCCGCTTGTGGGGGGCAACTGGTGACCTCGGTAGGGCGTGAAGGATGGACCGGAACGCCTCCCTTCCCATGAGGTTTTAGTCGCCCCCACACCCCCGGCTCATACCTGGGTCCACAAGGCTCCCATGCAGCCGCCATCCTTCTTTCCAGAGAAGAGAGGGCGAACGGGGCAACACCCTTTCCCCTCCAGACAGACATGATGGCCTGGATTAATGCATAGTCCTTTCACTTTTCTGCTCCAAGCTGCCGGGTTCTGCATTAAGTCCTTGTGCTTCTGGGGCCGTGGCTATGCTGGACAGCCACTCGCGGGGGGCAACTAGTGACCACGGTAGGGCGTGAAGGACGGACTGGAACGTCCCCCTTCCCATGAGGTTTTAGTCGCCCCCACACCCCCGGCTCATACCTGCTGTCCACAAGGCTCCCGTGTGGCCGCCATCTTTCTTTCCAGAGGGAAGAGGGCGGAAGGGAGCAACACCCTTTCCCCTCTGGCAGACTTGATGGCCTGGATTAACGCATAGTCCATTCACTTTTCTGCTCCAAGCTGCCGGGTTCTGCATTAAGTCCTTGTGCTTCTGGGGCTGTGGCCATGCTGGAGAGCCGCTTGTGGGGGGCAACTGGTGACCTCGGTAGGGCGTGAAGGACGGACCGGAACGGCCCCCTTCCCATGAGGTTTTAGTCGCCCCCACACCCCCGTCTCATACCTGCTGTCCACAAGGCTCCCGTGTGGCCGCCATCTTTCTTTCCAGAGGGAAGAGAGCGGAAGGGAGCAACACCCTTTCCCCTCTGGGCAGACATGATGGCCTGGATTAACGCATAGTCCTTTCACTTTTCTGCTCCAAGCTGCCGGGTTCTGCATTAAGTCCTTGTGCTTCTGGGACCGTGGCTCTGCTGGAGAGCCGATCGCGGGGGGCAACTGGTGACCTCGGTCGGGCGTGAAGGATGGACCGGAACACCTTCCTTCCCATGAGGTTTTAGTCGCCCCCACACCCCCGGCTCATACCTGCTGTCCACAAGGTTCCCATGCGGCCGCCATCCTTCTTTCCAGAGAAGAGAGGGCGAATGGGGCAACACCCTTTCCCCTCCAGACAGACATGATGGCCTGGATTAACGCATAGTCCGTTCACTTTTCTGCTCCAAGCTGCTGGGTTCTGCATTAAGTCCTTGTACTTCTGGGGCTGTGGCCGTGCTGGAGAGCCCCTCGTGGGGGGCACCTGGTGAGCTCGGTAGGGCATGAAGGATGGCCCGGAACGCCACCTTTCCCATGAGGTTTTAGTCGCCCCCACACCCACGGCTCATACTTGCTGTCCACAAGGCTCCCATGCGGCCGCCATCTTTCTTTCCAGAGGGAGGAGGGCGGAAGGGAGCAACACCCTTTTCCCTCCGGGCAGACATGATGGCCTGTATTATCGCATAGTCCTTTCACTTTTCTGCTCCAAGCTGCTGGATTCTGCATTAAGTCCTTGTGTTTCTGGGACTGTGGCTGTGCTCCAAATTTAACTCTGATTTTCAGGGAGAAACGTTTGGTGGTTTACTTCCCATTGATCACTTTGTATATAGAGAGATGTCACGCGGCCGCTTATGCGGCCGCGCAGTTTTTAGGAAAAGTCCTAGGTCCCGCATACTGGAGCTGTGCTTGTAGAGGCTTCTGGTCACCGGGGTTCCATCTAGGGGAGGCGGGATGAGGTACCTACCCCATCTGGGACTTCCTGATGATCTCGGCTCTTTTTGGAACCTGTTTTTTTCTTTTTCTCCGGGAGCTGTGGGTCCCGCCCTCCATGTGGCCCTTCTCTTCTGGCTGTATGCTGTAAAGATGGCGCTGGGGGGCGGGCTTTGGGCTGACTTCCGGAATCAAAGGTTACCTGGGAGCTGTAGTCCTGGCAGATTTGAGAAAAAAATCCTAGTTCCCGCATACTGGAGCTGTGCTTGTAGAGGCTTCTGGTCACCAGGGTTCCATCTAGGGGAGGCGGGATGCGGTACCTACCCCATCTGGGACTTCCTGATGATCTCGGCTCTTTTTGGAACCTGTTTTTTTCTTTTTCTCCAGGAGCTGTGGGTCCCGCCCTCCATGTGGCCCTTCTCTTCTGGCTGTATGCTGTAAAGATGGCCTCACTTGCACGCATCTCACGCCAATCCTTCACTGTATGTAATTGGGTATAAACTTCATTTCATATTCCAAGGTAGTGACTACAACAGACTACAATTTCAGACACTGAAAATGGCTTTTACTTCATAGCAATTTAGCTTGAAATCCCCCTAGTCAAGGGAGCACATCTCTGCCCCTCTCCAAGCTCTGCAGTACTGACCCCTGGCAAGAAGCAGTTTCTCCCTAAGTCTACTTCAGAAGGTTCCTTGGCCAGGGGGGATACCCCAGTAAGAGGATTTAATTGTGCACATGTGTCATCATAATTCGATATGGGAAAGTTTTCATTATGATACTAAAATACCTATTAAAAAGGTGGTTTCTGGACAATCTAAAGTGATTGGACCTGCATGAACTCTTGATGTCACTGTCACCAACTTTGTTGAGGAAAATAATTTCAATAAATAAAATCATCAGATCTATTGTTATTCCAGAGCTACTGAGATGAGAGGGGGAGAAATGGAGACTAGAATATTATACAGGAACTTTCTCTAATGGCTCAGTATAGCTGCATCTGACACACTCTCAGAAGAGGGAAGAACCAGGAACAGCTCGGCCTGACCATCCTCACACAACTGATCTCTGGGGGTTTATGTTCTGGACTGTATCACTGTGGGAGGGCGAATGTTATACTGTAGACAGTAATAAGTGGCAGCATTCTCAGGCTTCAGATTGCTGATGGTACGAGTGAAATCTGTCCCAGATCCACTGCCACTGAACTGGGGAGGGACGTCTAGTCCTAAATAGATTGCACCATAGATGAGGAGGCAGGGAGCTTTCCCTGGTTTCTGCTGATACTAGGTTAACCATTTGCTAATGCTCTGACTGGCCTTGCAGGTTATGGTAACTTTCTCTCCCAAAGTTGCAGACACAAATGGAGTCTGAGTCATCTGGATATCACACCTAGCACCTGGGAAAGAAATTATGAACACACATTGTGGCCATTCATCTTACTTTATATTATCCTCCCTGAAGTATGGATAACACTAGGTCCAGTAAACACTCATTTCCCTCCTTACCCAGAACACAGAACAGCAGGATGTTGAGGAGCTGCACAGGGGCCCTCATGTCCATCTGGGTGTGACAGACACTGAACCTGCAGGGTGACACAGACTATTATGGAGTGTCCAGGCATGAGCTCTGAGCACTTGCAAATGAAAGGGGACTGGGCAGGTTGGGCAGGCAGAGGGGAAGGGTGTGTGGGGACCAGCCCAGCTACAGGGAAGTCATGGGTCCGGATCCCTGTGGGAAAGCAGAACTTTGCCCACAGAGAACATGCTCCTCCCTAGGTCCCAGGAGGACCCCCAGAGTGAGCTTAGGAGGGTGGCTCCCTAGGTCTTTGTTTTAGGACACAGCTTCTTCTTTCTCTGCTCAAGAGAGAGGCTTTGTCAGAATACTCTCTTTAGACTTCCTCAGAAATTTAAAAAATTCCTTTGATTTCTCATCTGTGGATAAAATTGAGGCAATTAATGTTTTCTCTTTGCTGTGGAATCACATTATATTTTACTGCATTCTGTAAAGGATTAAAATTTTATGTTTTTCTATTTCATCAGGGGAGGGCTCTTTGTCAGTGCTCAGAGAACATGACAGTCACTCTGAACATCACGTGGTCATCGGGATCAGCAGTTCAATGCCGGAAATCAAAGACACAAAGCTATTATGATGCTGCAGTGCTAGAACTATCAGGCCTTTATCTGCAGGTTCTCTGGGCCATGTGCACCTTATGCTCACATGTGGACCCCAGATCATGCCTCCTGATGGGCCAGTCTCCCTCAACAAACGCTGTATTATTTTGTGTGAGAAATTGTTCTTATTAGCAGAGAGGAATGCAATGAGTGAAAAGGATTGTACAAACATTTGGGATTTTGAGTCATATATGAGTGAAGAATGTCTAACATCCCAACCCATTCATCTCATCTCTCCATCCAGCACCTGGGAAACTATTTCATTACTCCCAAGTCAACATGATAGCAAAAACTTTCCTTCCTCATCTTGAAACTCTTGTTTCTTTTCCAGCTGTAATTCCTGACACAGACCTGAATATTCCTTGAGATTCTTGAACTCTCTTCCCAACTTTCATCCTCTTCCCAAGCAGGTTGAAATGTGTTCAGATGTGGTGAATGAGACAGTACAACTTGACAGAATTCTTATTGAATATCTCTGTCTCGTCACTGGTGTGTCCCTTGCTCACAAACCTCGTGTTGCTCCAAAGACAGAGCAGCTCTCAGACACCAGATGAAAGACTTAGTGTCTTGAGAAGATTGGGGTAATAACACTACAGAACAGTCAATGACCACCCCCTCACAGCATGTGGGATTCATAGACACTAAACAAACACCTCTATGGGATGCAGTATGCCACCTGGTTTGAGGCATTGAGTGTGGGGTAAACATAGCACTCACGAACAAGGAGAATTATAACCCTGGGCTGGGGCAGAGATCCATGCAATGTAAGTCAGCATCCGGGTTCCCAAGGGGGTCGTCCCACCACCCATCAACATCACTGTTCTTTCATTCTGGAGACTGTCACTAGAACTGCAAACCATGTTTTCCTTAAGTATCCTATGGTCGCACACCACTGTTCAGCACCTGACAGACCAAACCAGACCCCCATGAACCACTACCCCAGGCTGGGCCAGGTGGGAGTGATCACTGAAGGAAAAAACCACAGTAAACCCTCTGCACTGCTAGGTGTGACCCCAAACAGAGCAAAATATTATTGAAAACATTTATTTATTTTGGGGCCCCTCATGTCCTGTTCATAGGACCCAATGGTCACTGTGAACAATACTCAGCCATGTTGCTGAGAAATGCAGTTCTAGAACCATCTGGCTTGATGTATTTCTGATCAGAATAAAAGTAACAATGTCATCTTAAAGGCAAAGTCAAGCTCAGCAAAAAAGTTAAGCATGAAGCATGAGCAGTCAGAGTTCAGGGCATGAAAGGTAATAGGGTCCCCCTTTAAATGAGATGGGCCTGAGGCAGCCCTGCTCTGAGGGTCCAGGAGTGCGAAGCCTTAGCTCAGGCTCCCTCACAGGAACACACAGGCTGGGGGCTCACACCGCTGACATGGGATTCTCTAACTCTGGGGGACTGGATAGTAAGTCAAGTTCCCACAAAGTCACTTCCCCTGAGACCATCCTCCCGTCAGCCAGAACCCCTCTCTCCCCTTGTCTTACAGAATTTTCCTGAGTGGGTGCCTGGAGGGACAGAGGAGATTCCTTGGTGTCTTTATACTCTCTTGTTATCTTCCTTTCTGTGACTTCACTTTACAATGAGTAATGCTTTATCTTCCCTGTCTACAGTCATGATGAAAAAAATGTCACAATTGAAATTGGGGAGATGTGGAGAAGGGGTAACTCCACTAATGGTTACAGCAGACAGGTTACACTGGACTTCTGCTCACACTGCAAGAAATGAGAATTTGCATAAACCTCAGCCTCTGACAGCTACTTCCATACATTTCCCATCATTCCCACAGGACTCACTGTGCCTATTGACAATGGGACACTAGCTCAGTTACTGTCCCAGTGCTTTTAAGATCCAGACTACCTGCATGGTCATATATGGGGTCTGTCTCCCATCTAGTGGCTACTTTCTGACACAGCAGCAAAAACGATTTCAGATGCTTCTCCTAGTGATTCTAGAGAGAATTTTACATCAGTCTTTGAAACACATGCTGTAATATACCACACAAGGCCAATCTGTAGACACAAAGGAAAAAATGAATTCTCTTTATAATAAAATGCTCAGCTAACTGTGAAGTAACCATGAACAGGGGACCAAAAGGGATGTGTGTCACCAGGAGCTAAGTACCAGTTTCTTTCATCCTCACATGTCATGGATATAATTTCATAAACATCTTCAGGATGGAAGAGGAAGCTGTGGCTGAAATTTCAGGTGAGCAGTGGGGGTGTGGGGGGAGCAGAGGGCTCCTGACTCCTGAGGTAGACTTGTCAATCCAGCTCCATGCCTCCTTCCAGAACTGTTTAGACTCTGAGACACACAGCTGTTGCACCAGTGAGGAAGTCTGAGAAGCCATTAGCCTATGGATATTACTGGTGAGGTCTGTTCTCCTGGCTGCTTTAGAAACCAGTGTGACATTTCAATCATTAGTGCCCAATAGCACAGTTTAATTTGTTGGCTTCACAAATCTAACCGATGGCCTCAGATATAAAAAAAATCTTCTCCAGCTCATCTACTCATCTGCATTCTGATTCTAGATTATTTTCTGCAATGATTGATTTGAGCTTATGCATAAATGTTTGCAAAAATGACATTTGGTACTTTAAAACTAAATACTTCCCTGGGCAACTAAGTATCTTGTATTATATCATTTTATTTTTTTATGTAGGAGTACTGCTATTTATTCAGCCACTGATTAGCTGATTGAATTGGGCATGAACTCCACCTTACTTTTTTTCATAATTTTATGTTTTTATTTATTTTTCTTCTTATATTTATTTATTGAATCACTGTGGGAAAAGTTTCAAAGCTTTCAGGTCTAAGACTCAGTACTACAATGATCAAACACCTTTCCCTTCACCAGTACTCATTTTTCACCACCAAGAACCCCAATATTCCCCCCCATCCCACCCCTCCCAATGCCTGTGAGGCAGATGATTTCTACTTAAGTTTTCTCTACATTGACTACACTCATTATTTTGACAAAAGATGCACCAATATTGTTTAGAAATTCCCCCCAACAATCAGAATTGCTGAATAGGCATTGTGAAATACTTTGTTTTCTAGAGTTGGTTATGAGAATCATATAATGATTTTGGATTTCTGAAAAGAGCTAGATAATTACAAGATTAGTTTCTGTGTGTCTGGTGTTATGGCTGTGCTGGAGAGCCACTCTTGGGGGGCAAATCGTGACCTCGGTAGGGCGTGAAGGACGAGCTGCTACCAATCCCCTTCCCATGAGACTGCAGTTGCCCGGTGACCGCCGGCTCATACCTGGCCTTTCTATAAGCTCTGAGGCAGCGGCCACCTTGCTGCCAGGGGTTAAAAGGCGGAAGGGAGCAACATCCCTTCCCTCTGCGGAGGCATGGTACTGTAGTTTAGCATATGGTCCATTCATTTTTCTGCTGCAAGCTGCTGGGCTCTGGACTAAGTCCTTTTGCCTCTGGAGCCATGGCTGTGCTGGAGAGCCACTTATGGGGGACAACTCAAGACCTCAGTAGGGCTTGAAGGACGAGCCTGTACTGCCCCCCTTCCCATGAGAATGCAGTTGCCCCTTCATCACTGGGTCATACCTGGCTTTCCAATAAGCTCTGAGCTGGCGGCCACCTTGTATGTGGTCCAGATGCATTGCTGCCAAAAACCGCTGGGTTTCGAGATTTGTTTCTGAGTCTCTGGGATTATGGCCATTAATCAGATTGATCAGGAGCCAGAGAGGCGACTCAGGTGTAGGTGGCGACTCAGGGTCTTGTTGGGATGGGGAGAAAAGGGTAAGCTCCTCCCCCATCTGGTGAGGCCCCATGTGTCTCATCACTGCAGGCCCAAACCCGGCTGTCCGGTGGCCTCTGGAAGATGGGGGTCAACAGGCCGCCAGGGAGAACAGGCCAAGGAACAAAACCTATTCCCACCTGTAGTGGCCCAGCGCCATAACCTACTGCAGGAATAGGACGCATTTCTGCCAAAAGTCTTTGGGTTCCGAGATTCATTTCTGAGTCTCTGGGATCGTGGCCGTTAAGCAGTTTGATCTGGAACCAGAGAGGATATACCTCCAATTAAATAGCTGGGCCAGAGGTGGTTTGTGGGTGTGTCTCCCACATCCCTAACTTTTGGCCTTTAACTTTCTTGGCAAACTTTGTCCCAAGTTTTGGGGGTCTGGCCAAAGGTACAGCAGCAATTTTGGGGTATCTGAAAGTCTGACATTGTCATCAGGCTGCTGATGCACTCACCTCATAGGTACAGATTGACCTGCTGACGGCACCATACCCGCATGTTTTATATCATTTTAAAGTATTAATTTGGTCCAACTAAAATCTTTCCACTCTGTTACCTCAAAATAAAGGTGGGGTTTTAGGTGTAAAACCCAGCTACATTACAGGGACAAGAGAT